TGCTGATCCGAGAGTACAAGGACATAGACAAGATGATCTTTGACAGAGAACTGCCCCATGCCGCGGGCCTCCTCCACCACTGTTGCTTCTACAGACCCCAGGAGCGGAGCCTGGTGACACTGATCACGGCTCCTCCAGGTCTGCAGTCTGGCGATCGGGCCTCCTGGTTTGGCCTCTACCACAACATCTCAGGGGCTGGGATCTACCTGCACCCCGTGGGCTTGGAGCTGCTGGTGAACCACAAGGCGCTAGACCCTGGCCGATGGACCATCCAGAAGGTCTTCTACCAAGGCCGCTACTATGACAGCCTGGCCCAGCTTGAGGAGCAGTTTGAAGCTGGCCTGGTGAATGTTGTGCCGATCCCAACCAACGGCACAGGTGGGTCCTGGTCTCTCAACTCTCGGGGGACCCCAGGTCCGGCTGCCCCTCTACAATTCTATCCGCAGGGTCCCCGCTTCAGCATCCAGGGCAGTCAAGTGACCTCCTCGCTCTGGGCTTTCTCCTTTGGCCTCAGCCCTTTCGGTGGCCCAAGGATCTTTGACGTCCGGTTCCGGAGAGAAAGGATAGCTTACGAGATCAGCCTCCAAGAGGCCGTGGCCATCTACGGTGGGAACACACCAGTGGCTATGCGGACCCGCTATATCGATGGCAGCTTTGGCATGGGAAAGTTCGCCACGCCCCTGACCCGGGGGGTGGACTGCCCCTACCTGGCCACCTACATAGACTGGCACTTCCTCTTGGAGTCGCAGGCCCCCAAGACGCTCCGTGATGCCTTTTGTGTGTTTGAACAGAACCAGGGACTCCCCCTGCGACGACACCACTCCAGTTTCTACTCCCCCTACTTTGGCGGCCTGGCGGAGACAGTGCTGGTGGTCAGGTCTGTGTCCACCTTGCTCAACTACGACTATATATGGGACATGGTCTTCCACCCCAGTGGGGCCATCGAAGTCAGGTTCCACGCCACGGGCTACATCAGCTCAGCCTTCCTCTATGGCGCAGCCCAGAGATACGGCAACCGCGTTGGGGAGCACACGCTGGGCACCGTCCACACCCACAGTGCTCACTACAAGGTGGATCTGGACGTAGCAGGTAAGCCGACCTGGCAGACAAGGATGCCAGGGAGGAGGGTGAAGCTGTCTGCCGCCTTTGGGTCTTGTGTGGGGACCCAGGACAGGAGAGTGAGGGCTTGTGTGGGTGGTTTGGAATGTCTGTGCGTCCCTTTTTTTGCTGGATGGGAGACAGCCGGTGACTTGTTCGGACCTTGGTTCACTGGCTCCGCGCACAGATGCCGGCCTCCTCCCACGGGATCCCAGCAGAGCGTCTGGGAAACCGCGCTGCTCTTTCCCAGGCAGCATCCGGGCACCCAGGGTCCCCTTTCCCTTTGCCCTCCTTCATACTTGACCCGGGCTCCGTCTACAGGAGGTAGCTGGGTGGTTCAGCATTCGAGCCCAGCCTCTGTCTGCTCTGTGGGACGGCTGGGCTTGGTGTGCTCAGGCCCTGGGTGGTGCTTCCAAACCACCCAGAGACGCTTTGGGAGAAAGGCTAGCAGTCTTCCTGTGACAAACCCGTGCTCTGGAGTGAGGCTGCTTTGCACGCTGGGGTCCCAGTGAACGGGAGAGGGCCCTGCGGCACCTGGCTGGGTTTGGGTGGCTCTCGTGCCACTCAGCCCCCAACCGTGAGACAACACCACTGCATCTCTGGCACAAGGAGCCTCCTCCCCCGCTCTCTGGGCACAGCGCACACTGACATTGGAGGCTGGGGGGGGGGCCCGGGGGGCACTGGGGCGCGTTCCTGGGGCTGGTGGTCGGTCCCAGAGCCAAGACCCCGTGACGTCTCTGAGTCATCTCTCCCTCCTCACGTTGAGCTGATCATCAGCCTCTCCTTCCATTCTGCCTCTGCAAGGTCACTGACCGTCCTGAGTCCCACTGCCGCCCTTGTCACCAGCCTTCCATCCTGGGTCCCACTGCCGCCCTTGTCACCAGCGGCTCTGCTTCATCTGTCTCCTCTTCCTCTCAGACACATGCAGGGCCCACTCTGAGCCCAGAGGAGCCCCCATCCCCGACCGCCAGGATCCTCTGGGCAGGAGTGGCTGACAAGGCCCCCCGCTCCTCTGTGCAGCTCCACTTGCCCGGCAAAGTCCGTCCCACACGTGGCTCTTGCCACACGCATGACCCCTGAACCCTGGTCCCCGGACACCCTGCAGGTGCAGGCTAGCTGCTTTGTGTTTGCGCAGACCCGAGCGTCCTTCCGCCGGGTCTCCACTGGTTATCAAGTGGCCCATGAAGATCCCCTTTCCTGCCCACCCTGCAGGCCTGGTGCTGCCTCAGCTAGTTAGGGGGTTCCTCTCTGTGCCCCTCCCCGCAGGGGGTGGGGGGCTGCATTCACCTCTGTGTCCCCAGGGCTGAGTCCTGCCCTGTCCGCTATGGTCTGTGTGTGTGCTGAAAGGATGACCGCCTGGACTGGAGTCCTTAAAGAACCTTGGGAATGGTTCTTTGGCAGAAGGGTTAGGGATATCTTGGGGAGGCGGGCGAGGGACCACAAACGGAGCTCAGGCAGCTCAGCTCACAGCTTCTCTCCCACCCTCACTGGGTGGGGCAGAGTCCAGAGGGGGCAAGGCAGCTCCTGACTGGCCCTCCCTGGCCCCGCCCCTGTTCCTCCCTTCTGCCCCCTACAGGGCTGAAGAACTGGGTCTGGGCTGAGGATATGGCCTTTGTCCCCACTTCGGTGCCCTGGGACCCCCAGCACCAGATCCAGAGGCTGCAGGTAACCCGGAAGCTGCTGGAGAGCGAGGAGCAAGCTGCCTTCCCCCTGGGAGGACCAACCCCTCGCTACCTGTACCTGGCCAGCAATGAGAGCAACAAGTGGGGACACCCACGGGGCTACCGCATCCAGGTGGTCAGCTTTGCAGGGGAGCCCCTGCCCCAGAACAGCTCCATGGAGAGAGCCGTCAGCTGGGGGAGGTGAGTGCCAGCAAGGGGCAGCCTGAGAAGGGCAACTGGGCACGGCATTGGAATGCGGTGCTGGGGTGGGGGTTCAGAAAGGACTTCCCCCTGGTCCAGAGATACCTCCCAGGGCCTGTTTCCCGGCTGGGTTAGGGTTAGTTAAAGCCCCAGAGTGAGCACTCCCTTGTGTGGCTGGGAGAGAGGGACCATTCTGTACCAAGGCAGGGCACGAACAGGCAGATCTTGGGAAGGGGTTGCCAGGCTCCTCCGTAATGCCAGCAAGGATGCGGCGTGCCGTCCCTGTGGATGAGATGGGGACCCTGAGCTCTGCTTGCTCAGCCCTCTTCCATTATAGTCAGGCGGCAGGAGGGGTTAGTGACCAGGGAGGCCTGACCGGTCTCTCCCTAGGTACCAGCTGGCTGTGACCCAGCGGAAGGAGGAGGAGCCGCGGAGCACCAGCATCTATAATCAGAATGACCCTTGGACCCCAACCGTGGCCTTCACGGACTTCATCAACAACGAGACCCTCGCCGGAGAGGTCAGCTGACCTGGGGAGGGCAAGGGGAGGGAGGCTGGGGCACAAGAGCAAGTCCCACCTTCTCTTACGGGTCCTTGTCAACCATCTGAGCTGCTCCGGGCCGGAGCTGGGGGTTCGTATACAGACACTGTGTGAGGACGCAGGCCTGTCCTTCCAAGACCTGTCCCTCTCGCTCTCAGCGTCCTGGAAGATGACTGGCCAGAGAGTAATAGCTTCCTCTGGCTCCAGAATTCAGGAAGGACTGGGAGCCCATGCAGGATGATCAGACCTCTTGGACCTGAAACTTTTCCCTTTCTTGCCGGGACCACTGCTGGGTGCTTTTCAGAAGGTGGGCCTCTCCCGGCCTCCCAAGCTCTGGTCTTCCTGCCTCCATCCTCCCATCCTCAGTTACGTTAG